GACTATGACTGCTAAATGGCATAAATTTACTTTCTCTCCTCTAGCAGTGATCAAACTCAGCTTCCATGTCCTCACCTCATGCTTCCAAGCAGTCTTGCTCGACCCCTTATAAATACCCAGGCCCTTAGCTCAAACATTTGTTTTCTTTTTGTGTCATACCCACCGATGTTCAGGGGTTACTCCTGGCTCTGCACTCAGGAATCACTCCGGGCAGTGGGGACCTTATGGGATGTTGGGAATCGAACCAGGGTCGGCTGCATGCAAGGCAAATGCCCTACCCGCTGTATTATGGCTCCAGCCCCCGAACATTTTTCTTTAAACTAGAATAAACAAATCAGTAAATATAAAATTATAGATATAAAAATCCACCAAAGAAAATTAGAGTTCACACATCCTTTAGAAGCTGCACTAATACATAGATATGGCACTTTCAGACACCACAACATAAAGTATATCAAGCAATTAAAGAGACAGAGACATATATATATATACATATATATTGCACCCACCTTACTCAACAATGGTCAGAAACAAAATCTTTGAAGCATTTTCAGAAAAGAAGAATAATAAATTAATATTATTTTCCATTATCTCACTGATTATGAGAAAAAAACAAAAAACATAATGCATAATGATAGTACATAATGATGCTTGTTTAGCACAGCGGTAGGGCGTTTGCCTTGCATGCAGCCAACATGGCCGACCAGAGTTCGATTCCTCTGCCCCTCTCGGAGAGCCCAGCAAGCTACTGAGAGTATCTCGCTCACATGGCAGAGCCTGGCAAGCTCCCGGTGACGTATTCGATATGCCAAACACAGTAACAACAAAGTCTCCAATGGAGATGTTACTGGGCCTGCTGGAGCAAATTGATGATCAACGGGAGGGCCTTTACCTTTTACTTTACTATAATGATGGTTGTACTATATGGGAGTTGGGGAGTGCATCACAAATACAAAACTACTGACTAATATAATGTCAATATAAAATGCCTTTTTGAACTCCTAGATATTATTTAAAATAGCTACAATGGCATTTATCACACACACAGAGCACTGTTTTTCTTTTTTTCAAGAAAGAACAATCCATCTTTAGCTGTGGATGAGTAATATAAAATTTAGTAGTTTTAGTACATGTTATGGAAACTTGATAATATGTGAGTAATAACAAAATAAGTAAAAGTATTCAAGTAGCTTACCGAATTGGTGTTAAATGTTTAATAACCTGTATATAACCTTGAGCAGTTAGAAACCAATGACTTGAATATAAGCACTTAAGGAAATAGGATTCTAGCTCAGCATTTATAAGAAAATACTGCCAAAGTTTCAAGTCCTAAAGAGAAGTATTAAAATGCTTCTTGGCTCTAAATCAGAAAATGTTCTATTGAAGTTGGTGCAGAGAAACTAGAGTATGATCAGCAAATTTAGGTGACTTAAATTCCATCTGAAACATCCACTTTCCAGGAAGGAAATTGGTTATTAAGACAGTATTTTTAACATATGAAAGGTTATCTAAAAAAAGTTTCCATGACAAAAGAAACATGGTCTAAAATTAAAATACAACTACTGAATGTAAGAAGATATTTGCATGCTATACATTAGATGCTGGGAATCGAACCCGGGTCAGCCGCATGCAAGGCAAACGCTCTAGCTGCTGTGCTATAGCACAGCAGTAGGGCGTTCGCCTTACAAGCGGCCAAGATGGCCGACCCGAGTTCGATTCCTCTGCCCCTCCCGGAGAGCCCGGCAAGCTACCGAGAGTATTCGATATGCCAGACACAGTAACAACAAAGTCTCCAATGGAGACGTTACTGGGCCCGCTCGAGCAAATCGACGATCAACGGGAGGGCCTTTACCTTTTACCTTATACATTATATAAAGGACTAATATCTAAGATATATGAAACACTCAAAAAGCTCAAAAATAAAAAAAGCAATAACATCACCTAAAAATAAGATGAATAGGCACTTAGAAGAAACAAAATAAGGTCTGTCAGTAGGCATAATAAGAAAAAGTGTTTAATGTCACTTGTTATCAGAGAAATACAAGTCAAAGTGACTTTCATACTAGAAAGAATGGCATATATCAAAAATACTGTAAACAACCAGAATGGCAGGGATATAGTGAATAAATAACCCTTTTTCACTGTTGGTGAATCTTACAGGGTTCTGCCTCTATGTAAAACAGTTTGGAGCATGTTCAACAAATTAAGAATAGTTTTCATATGAGAGATTATTCTCAATTATCCCTCTTCTGACATGTATCCCAATAAACACAAAAGCATGATTCAAATATTTCATATACACCTATACTCATTGAAGTGCTAAGTATAATAGCCAGGGTATTGAAACAATCCAAAGTCAAACAATAGATCTATAGACAAAAAAAATTGTGATATATATATGTATATATATATAACAAAAAACTATATAGCTGTAAAAAAAGAAAAATTCTGTGGTTTGCTGCAACTTTGATGAAATTAGAGGACATCATATTAAGTGAAATAAGCCAGAGGTAGAAGAACAAATACCAGATGACTTTATAACAATGATAATAGAGAAACAAAACAAGAAAATAGATGATATTAAATGAGGACAAACTATTGGCCTCTGACTGCAAAATAGATTACCGAATAGGGCAGGGTAAAAGAAGGAAAGAAAGAAACGGTGAACTAAAGACAGAGCAAGAAGAGGGTTTGGGACATTTTGTTGGTGGTGAAGGTGCAGGAACTTTGTTATTCAAGACAATGTTGAGAAAAACAATCTCTGGTGGGCGTGTGGTGTTAGAATGATGTATATATGGAACCCTATCATTGACATTATTCCAGCTCATGGGGAATCATGCGTTTTAGAGCACATGCCAATGCATGAAGCCCTGAGTTTGATCCTGAGTACTGGATGAACTCCCAACAGCACAGCTATGACTATGGTTCCTAGAACAATGCTAAAATACCTTAGCTATTTAAACTATACATGTAAGAGATCCCAATTTTGCATGAATAATTGTACTATTGCCTTCTATTCCACAACTTTTCTATCAACCATTTCACTGGGTAATAATAACACTTAGATATAAGGCATTTATATGTCACTTCAGTTGCTTCTCTGAGGAAATAGTTTCTTTTTTTTTATTTTTTGAGAGTATACTGCATTTTTATTTGTGTAATTCTATGTTAATTTTGCCATTCTTTTTAAAATTTATTTTAATGAATCACCCTGAGACACAGTTACAGATTTACAAATTTTCGTGATTACATTTCAGTCATGCATTAATTGAGTACCCATCCTTCCACCAATGCCCGTTCTCCACCACCAATGTTCCCAGTATCCCTTCCACCACCCCTACCCTATCCCGCCTCATCCCTCTGTGGCAGGCACATTCCCTTTTACTCTCTCTCTCCTTTGGGGTGTTATGTTTTAAAATGTCGGTACTAAGTGGCCATCATGTTCGTTCCACAGTCTACTAGGAAATAGTTTCTTAAGAAATCCAGCACTATAGCTAAAACAAATGAGTTTGGTGATCCGAATATACAATCATAAGGCTGTGCCTGGGGGAGAGGGAACGCCCACTTCTCCAGTGAAAATATGGAGCAAAAAAAGAAACTCAAGTTCTGGTGAATGAATGATACAATATAAATACAATTAGGGTGGGTTTATTTCTACCATTGGCCACCAGTGTCACTGTCTCTCCCTAACACCATAGGCAGGTTCTAAAGGTCACTGTGTGTCTTGCCAAAGGCAAAGGAATTGCCAAAGGTTGTTCCAGAAGCCTTACCAGTTGACTTTTCATTTGTCAGAATAGCTCTAGGCTCTTTCCTTACTCACTTTACTGGAGTCAAAGAACTGTGCCAGCCCCTTCCTCCTTTTCTAGGCATTCCCAGGCCCCAGTGGCAACTGGTGAAGTCCTTGAGCTGGATTTACAGACACTCCTGGCGAAGTCTGCTACAAGAAGCATCTTGTTGCAAGAAGAGAATATTTGACCCTTAAACACTGGAGGTTCCCACAATGCAAGGACAATCCATGAATATCTCTCTCTCTCTCTCTCTCTCTCTCTCTCTCTCTCTCTCTTTCTCCACTCTCTCTGTTTCTCTGTTCTCTCTCTGTCCTCTCCCTTTCCCTCTCTCTTTCCCTCTTTCTCTCCCACTCTCTCTCCCTCTCTATTCTCTCTCTCTCACTCTCTCTCTCTCTCCACTCTCTCCTTCTCTCCCTTTCCCTCTCCCTTTCCCTCTCTCTTTTCCTCTCTCTCCCATTCTCTCTCCCTCTCTATTCTCTCTCTCTCTATTCTCTCTCTCTCTCTATTCTCTCTCTCTCTCTCTCCCTCTCTCTCTCCACCTCGCTCTCACGCTCCCTCTCTTGCTCTTAATCTCCACCCTAAGGGCAGCACTGGACCCTCCGAATTCTAATTCTCTCCTCCCCTCCTATCAAAGCACCCCTGCCTTTGCACAGACCAGCAACCGCTAGTGCGGTGTGGGGAGCGGATCTGCGGGTCCGGGCTGTGGGTGGAGACCTCCCACCCGCCGCTCTCAGGCTCCCACGAGGTGCTGCGGAGCGGACCGGCCCCTGCAGCAGGTGACCCCGGCGTGCGGCGGTGCTCCGTGCCTTCCCACTGCACAAACCCCATCCCCGACCGACCTTGCAGGAGACTCGCGGAAGCTTAGACAAGTCAGAGGACCAGGGTCCCCAGTTGGGTGAATCCCTCTCTTCCCCTCCCTCCGCAGGAGGAAACTCAGAGCCCCGCCAGGAAGGAGTCGTCGGGGCACCGCGGGCACGCAAGAACCGCGTGGGAACTCCAGGTTCGGAAGTTGGAGAAGGTGGGGGTGGGCGATCGCAAGCTGTAAAAGCATCGATCTCGCGTCTGGGGGGGTTGCAAGAACCACGCGGGGCTGAACCTCTCTGAGAAACACCGGCTCCCGCCCGGCACCCCCGCGGGACCCCAGGGCAGCTCCAACCACGCCCCGGCCCGAGCTGCGGGCGACGCCACCCCGGGGCTTGCGTGCGAACTTACGGAAGAAGATGTACTCGGTGTAGCTGCTCCAGATCTTGTCGTCGCGGTACTGGTTGACGAAGGCGGCCGTGCCCGAGGAGTTGCACGCCACCATGTGGAAGCCGGCCTCGGACAGACGGTCGAAAGCCTGCTCCAAGTAGGTGAACTTGAGGTAGAAGCGCGACGTGTACTTCTCGGGCGGGCGATCGGGGTCGCGGCTCTCGTTGAGCGTGTCCCCGAAGACCTCCTTGGCCAGCGCGATGCGCCCGCACACCAGGATGCGCGCCACCCGCCGGAACTTGGCGTCCGCCTGGTTGTCGCGCACGGCCGTGTAGGAGCCGCGGTAGCCGAGCGTCAGGAAGCCCGAACGCTTGTCGGGCGCCGCGCGGTTCCCACCGCCCGGCGCTCCGGTCCCCGAGGGTGCGGGAGCCGCCGCCGCCGCCGCTGACCCCCGCAGCAGCAGCGCGTCGCTACTGCCCTGCGACACGTTGTCGTCCAGGTCGCTCTGGCAGCCTTCGTCGTTGATGGAGTTCTGCTTGGCGACCTTGGGGGCCAGCAGCTTGACCAGGTCGCCCAGCTGGAAGTACTCGGCCTCGCGCAGCAGCCGCTCCTTCTCGGGGAAGTGCTCGGGCAGCGCCAGCTGCTTGTCGCGCAGATAGTCCAGCACGTACCTGAAGAGGAAGCCGTCGCGGTCGATAAAGAAGCGCGCGCGGCTGTCCCTGGGCAGCTCGCCGCCGCGGCGTCGGACGCCGCCGCCCCGGGGGCTGGCGGGGGAGAACATCGTGGCCAGAGTGCTGTCCGGCACGCTGAGCAGCGTCGAGTGCTTGGTCACATACACCTGGCCCCCCACGTTCAGCTCCACCACCTCGGGGAAGGGGGAGGGCGCGCCGGGCCCCGGGGCGGCGGCGGCGGCGGCGGCGGCGGCTGCAGCGGCGACGCCTGCAGCCGACGCTCCGCCGGGCGAGCTGGACGCCGACACCATGTCGCTAATGGGGAGGATGGTGCCGCCGCCCGTGTCCTTCAAAGCCATGGTCCCCCCGGCCAGCGGTCCGGTGACCCTGGAGAGCCGCACTTTCGGGGGGCGCCCCGCGTGCGCTCGCGGGCAGCCCTCGGGCGGGCGGGCGGGCAGGGGCCGGCGCGTGTCCGCGGCGCTCAGGGCTCGGAGCACCGGCAGCAGCGGCGGAGACGGCGGCGGCGCCCGGGCTCCATCGGGGGGTGGGCAGCGAAGCGCGGGAGAAGACTCCGAGGGCGCCGCGGTGGCGGCCGAGCGCAAAAAAAATAAGCAAATAAATAAATAAATAAAATAAAATCAAAACGGGGGTGGGGGAGCTGCTGCTCCTTGGGGGGCGTCGGCGAAGTGTGCGAGAGACGGGGCAGAGATGCTCGGGAGGCGGCGGCTCAGTCTCTCCGCCGCCGACTGGGCGGAAGGAGGGATCGGAGCAAAAGCAAACTCGCCGCCCCAGCGGATGGCGAGCGCTCCCAGAGACCCAGAGCGCGGACGGTGGCGCTAAAACTACTCCAGACAGCCGGGGAGGCGGCACTGGCACTGACGTCAAGCTCGGGACAGAGCCCCGAGCCCCAGCTGTCATTTAAAGAGGTAGTCGCCCGCCTCCCGCTGCCGGGCGCCGACACTAGGGGGCGCAGTGGAGCCCCCCACCCCCACCCCCCACCCCGCCCCACGCGCGGCTGAGCCGCCAGCCAGCCAGCAGAACTGACCAGCAGGGCGAGCAAACGGAGAGAGGAATTGCATTCTGCCTGTATTCATCCCATTCCCTTACTCCATCCTCCCTCTTTCTTTCCCATCTTTCTTCCCTACTTTTCTTCTTCTCTCTAACCAGGTCAGACTAGTAACACTATGCCCCCCCCCCTTTCTTCCTTTTTTTTTCCCTTTTCTTTTTTCGTTTTTCTTTTGATGTTTGTTTTAGGTGGGTGAGATCCAGGCGGGAAGGTTTAGATTCCGCTGAAGATGCAAAACTCCTAATCTGAAACTACTACAAACGTTAGCAAGCGAACTGTGACTGCAAAAAATCAAAGGGGGGGCGGGGGAAGGGTGTTGCTTTAAGCTGAAGTCTCTGTGGTTTTACTATAGTTTTTAAATGAAAAGCGAAATTCTTCAAATCTCTAGTACAGTTAGATGCTCTGGTTGCATATTTAACTGCTTCGCATGCACCACAAGGAGCTGAAGACATTTTTTAACTCTAAATGTGATTTCAGTTCACAAAACTAATAAAGAATTGTCTGTAATGGGACATACGGCTTTCCTTCTTTCATCGTCTTAGTATTGGATTCATAGTAGATGCTTAATGAATGTTTAAGAAGGAAGAAAACACCTCAGGGAGGAAACTTACCTTGCTATTCCGTGTGTTCTGCTCAATGTGTCATTAATCTCTGTTTTCCCATCCAGTTCCATGGGATATGAGGAATAACCTATGTTTTATTAACATACTAACCCCATGAGCCAAAAAAAAGAATAATATTAATTTAAACTCACCTTAATTTCCTTTTGTATATAGCCATATATACACCCATACAGTATGCAAAATCAGCATTACTCGTGATAATGAGTATAGATAGAAATGCAAATGAAATATCTTCCTTCCTCAATGGTTATACATGCCCCAGCATCTTTTTGTGTTCAGAAACATGAAGAAGCATTGATTTATAAACTAAAAGTGGAAACAGTTCAAGTAAAATTTTTCTTCAAATGATACATTATAGTTAGATTTTTATCCATTGATTGTTAAACTAATGTCATTTTAGTATTTTTATTATAAGTTCAGTGTAAATTCTTTTGATTTCTTCCCCTTAAATCTTTCAAATTTAAAATTTGAGATAACAGTTGAAGCCTCAAATCTTTATAAATAATTAATACAACATTCTTTGGATCATTACAGACTATATTTAATTCATTGATTTATATAAGCCACATCCACAGAAAAGGGTTTATCAGTTTTGGAGTTAAATTACCTGAAACAAAAGCCAAATTGACCAATGAAAAGACACAATGTTATTTTCCAAAGACTTAAAACTTAGATTTGATAGACATCTTTATGCAATGCTCTTGTTCAAGCTTATTGCCTTTCTTCCAAGCTAATAAGATTGGAAGATTAAGAAAGAAAATCTATTTTCTCCTTCATTTAAGAACTATAAACAGAAAGTATTCATATCTTAAATAATAATTCTTAAAAATGAATTAATAGAGCCTTTTTAACCTATACAGATGAATAAAAATATTGCCTCAAACCACCACTAATGAAGACCATTTATCATGAGGTAAATGTTCTTCCTCATAAGTATGGTACAGATGATAGAATTATAATGAAGTGATGCATGATAAATATGCATATAATGCATGTAGGAATGGAAGGTTTCCATAATTTGTAGGCTAAAATCCATTTTAAGTCTCTAACTCTGTAAAATATGTTTCTAATGTAAATGTCTCAAAATTTGTATTCTGAATAATATTATAAATGTCTTTTGTTTTGTTGTCTTTGTTTGGGGTGCACACCAGATGGTATTCAGGGAAAACTCCTGGCTCTGTGTTCAAGGGTCACTCCTGGCCATCAAGTCACAGGTAAGGCAAGCCCTGTATTACTTCTCTAGTTCCCAGGTCAGAAACTACATTTTATTTGGAGGGCAGGGCACACCCACCTGTGCTCAAGTCTTAATTGTGCTCAGCAGCACCCAAGCACCATTTTTAGTACCCGGGATTGAATCATGATTTGCTGTGTGCAAGGTTAGTGTCTTAACTCCTTCATACCTCCCTAGGTCAAAATTCCTAATGCATTACACTGTGAACAATTTTTTTTTGTTTTTTGGGTCCCACCAGCGATGCTCAGCGGTTACTCCTGGCAGTGCTTAGGGGACCATATGGGATGCTGGGAATAGAACCCGGGTCAGCCACTTGCAAGGCAAACACCCTACCCGCTGTGCTATTGCTCCAGCCCCTGAACAGTATTACTTTTAAAAATAATCCCATCAGTGCTGATTGATTTCTCTCCGATTACTTCCCTCCTTATACTCCTTTTGTTTTAATGCCCAACTATATTCTGAAATCACACTCCTATCTGAACAAAGTATAGGTCTAGATGACTGTCCCTGTCATGTTTTTCCCTTCTGCCAGGAATGCCTTTCTCTTTCTACCAGTTCCCTAACACTTTCCCCCTGTTTGCCTTTTCCATTCAGTCTCAGCTGAAATATTATTAGTTTAGCATTTACCAAACCAAGTTATATTCGCTCCTTAAATGTTTCTATACCACCCTGTACTTACACCCTGTCAGGAACAATGGCACCACGTGTCACAATCATCCATTCTATCACATAGATGCCATCTCCAACACGATGCCAAGTCCCATAAGAGAGAGTCGTTCTCTGTTCTACTGAAGGAAAATGTGTTCATATTGTCATTGGGTAACCAAGCATCAGTGGGTGATTGACACTTGCCAAACAATGAGATTAAAGATAAAACTATGTTCTTCAACAACTAAAATGGAGACAAAGTAAGAGCAGAATACGATTTTCAACTTAGACTTTTTTCTTTTCTTTTGTTTCCTTTGTGTTTATTTGGGGCCACATTCAGTAGTATTGAGTGCTTCCTCCTGGTTCCATGTCAGAGATCACTCCTGGCGAGTCTCTGGAAAATCATCTGCTGTGTTAGGGATCAGAACAGCACAGCCTCATGCTAGGCCAGTGTCTTAATCCCTTTATTATCTCTCTGGCCCAGAATCTGATTTATTAAAGTCATATCTAAGTGAGAAAAGAAATCAACAGAAAGAATTAGACATTGTTAGAGGAATCACTTTTGGTGAACTGAATAATCAACAGCAGGTAGTATAATCAGAAACCTCATACTCTAACACAACACAGAAACCAGCAGTCTTTTCTAGTCCAGGACCATATGTATAACAAAGATTGTTCCTTTAGAAGATTTTTTTGTTGTTGTGAAGAGGTAAGACATTAAACTTCTCTGACTAGAAATGATACTGTTTGACTTCACATTCCCAGAACATTTTATAACAGAGTGAAAAATTTGTGTCTCTGAAAGTGCAACAGATTAACCAATGTAAAGTTGATATTATTAAAAAAGGGCAACTTAAAATAGAAAATAATCATTGCTTCACTAGGCAGGATCTGCATCTTTGATAAAGGAGGAAGAAAACATAAAGTAACAATGAGATTTCAAATTAGAAAGAAATGGTTAAACTATAACTTTGCTTCTTAATTGCTTAGTAATATAGGCAGACTAATCCCTCTGAATCTCAATTTCCTTGTGAAAACTATAGACATTATAAGAACCATAACTTCTTGATGTATCCAGTACCAGGAACATTCAAGTTCAACGGACTTCATTGGATTTAGTCTTTGCGAGGGGTGGGTGGATATCGGTATCCTTACTGGACATATCTAAAATCCTAAAGCAGCTGAACTGATTGCAGTAGCTCTGCCTAGCTTTCCTCCAGTGTTCCTATCCCCTTTCCAGGGTCTGAGGTAACGTGGTTCCTTCATCATGAGTATTCCTGCCCCCTTCTCAGTGTGTCCTGCCCTGTCTAAATTTATTCTCTTTCACATGTTAGCATGCAAGACACTGATAAGTCTTATCTGATTTAATGTAGCATGATCCTATGCTGATTTTTAAAAATGTTTCAGATTTTTAAAAACTATAATATAAATACACCTTTTAGCTTACATGTCTCTAAGGCAAACTGCATTTCTAATTCTCAGGAATCTGTCTAGTATCTGTTTTACTCAAAACGGTTGAAACATGTACCAAAAGTTAAAATTCTAAGCAAAAAATTCATTGATTCTTCTTAGAAACAGTTTTTAAAGAAGTTATATTTTATAAAATATGGGAACTCAAGATATAATTTTCTAGAAGCATCATTTAAAAAGTAAAAATGAAATTTATCAGTTATTTAGACCAAATTATCAAAACTGTCATTTTCTTCAACATGGGGTCAGTTTAATGACATAAAAAGTATGCTATATTCATCATAATAAATTATTATATAACACCGTTTTGTTCCAGATTAG